CAGCATCTTGAGAAAGCCACACACATAATCCTGGACACCCGAGTGCTTGAGGAGAGTGGTCTCCATCAGAGAGGACTTAGATACATCCGAAAGCAGATCCCTTGCCTAGAACATTCTTGAAGTCCTCATTTGGATGACTTCTGCCTCTTTGTTGCTTTTTTTTTTTTTTTGGTTTGGTGTTTCAAGACAGGGTTTCTCTGTGTACCCCTGGCTGTCCTAGAACTCACTCGGAGATCTGTGCTGGGATTAAAGGCGTGTGCCACCACCGCCCAGCTCCTTGTTACAGTTTGAGTCTTGCTATGCTCTGCTCCCAAACAGGGGAGGCGAGCTTGATGTTGGGAATCACATACATGGGGAGGGCTTGGAGAAGTACTGATTGACAATGTTCACGAGAGGGAGGGAGGGAAGGGGGAGGGAGACAGAGAGGAGAGAGGAAAGGTAGAGAGAGGGGGCGAGGGGACCTTATAAACTGAGAGTTCTGAGATTTGTTTGCCTTTGTCCTGTGTGACTTTGATGTCATTTTGAGCGAGGTGAGCCATCTCCTCTCAAGAAAATGGCTTCAAGAATGCAGCACTACTAGGTGCAGAAGGTCTGTGTGCTGATTTTGAAGACAGTCGAAGGAGCTGGGCCATGCTTGGCGTGCCCATAGATGGAAGCAGCGGCTGGGCCGGGGATGTCTGCTTTCCCTTCGCTTCCCCGCGTCACTCCCCAGCCCTCCTCCTCTCTCCCCTGGGTTGCTGTTGGCCTCTCCACATTACTGTCTCTTGCCCACATTCTCAGTCTCTGGTTATGGAGTCTCCATCCAGGTCCCGTGACGAGCATGCTGTCAGTCTAACGTGGACTTCACCAGCAAGCACTGTGTATCAGACAGAAGCTGGAAGGCAGTACCCAAACATGGCTGCAGTACAGAACCCTGGGGTGTCACAGAAAACCCTGGACGCCTTCTCCTGTCCTGTACTGACTAATACAGAATGCCTGGCCATAGGAGCCAGACTGTAGTAGATAGTCAGAAAGGCACTAGGTGACTCTGGAGAGACTCACCCTCTGACACAGTGGGTAATTCTACCTGGACATAGTCACAGTGACCCTATCCTGCATCACCAGGGTGGTGCTATGTGTTAGGAAGGACATTTAATACACAATCTGCTCTCTTGGTGGCCTTGACAAGCCTCAGTCTCCTCCTCTGTAAAATGGGTTAATGGTATCGTCATAACCAAAAGCATGACGGTGAAAGGCTTTAGAAATTGTGCCACAGTGTTAGAAGGCTTATGTCACTCCTGGGGCTCTCCTTTGACGAGAGGACACTCGCTGTTAAGGTGGTCGGCCTAACTACTGTGGCGTTGACCTTTCATTGCCAGCAATACCTGGTCGCTGTTGAAGTCATTGATTTGTCCCATCTGGTAAAGAAGTGTGGCAAGGAGAGGTGATCTTAGCAACTTCAAAAAGAAGCCAGCACTAGATCCCAAGAGACCCACTGTCCCCAGCATTCAGGAAATGCCCCCCTGTGTCTGAAAACACAGAGGCCACGCGGAGGGTGGTGGTAGCCAGGGGCTTCCAAGGCCCGCTTCCTCCTGACTGTTCTGTTCATTTGGATGTCACTTGCGTGAGAGTGACAGGAGAGCGTGACTCCCAGAGCACTGTTGCTACCCCGTCCCCCCCCCCCCCCCCGGGTCATTTCATCAGTGTGTCCGTGCTGTCATACGGCGAGTGTCATTCTTTGGGAAACACACAAAAGCATTTTCTCTTGGCTTGTGCTTCCTAGGGACCTGAAGTTGGATGGAGGGAGACAGTCAGCAGGGGCCATGAGCCTGAAGGAGATCATTGGCCTTGATGGTGTGGAGCTGGGGGCTGATGGGAAGGTAAGGTTTCTAGTGTCTGAAATTTTGCAATTGGTGCAAGGCCCAGGATGCAAAGGCAGAGAGCTAGAGCATAAGACTTACTTGCAAGGTCAGGGCAGGTTCCTCAGTGCGATGCATCATCTCACTCCAGCTCTGTGCAGACAGAAACCACCAAGCCAGTAACTCAGTAGAGGCGTGGCAGGAGGTCCCGAGGAATGTGCATTTCTGCTCACACTGTTTACAGCTGATTGTGCAATATTCACATACTTATAAACACATCCACATTCCAAGATGGAGTGATGGTTTGTGTATCTGTGAAAGAGAGGTATCAGTGAGCAATATTCCAGCCTCTAGTAAAGTTTTGGCTTCCCATGATCCCAAGAAGCCCCGAGTGCCTCCGCCCAGCACGGTGACCACTAAACTGTGTCAGTGTGGTATCCCGCTAAACAGTCAGATTTCACCCACAGTACAGTGAGCTGCTAAGTTGAAGTCCAAGGAGCAAAATTTGTAATCTGCTGACCTGTGGTAGTCTTCATTACAACCTCCCAAAAAGCCTGCGCTCCTGTGGGAGGCTCCCAAACAGCTGTCCTCACCCTCAGGGCATCTGTCAGCTCTGTCCAAGACACGATGCCTCGTTCAGGCTGTATGTGGGGTGCCTACAAGGTGCTCCTTGGGGCAAGTAAAGAGAAATAGGCTCCCCCATCTTCATCCAAAAGGGTGAGTGTTCACCTTGGAATGAGGAAGGTTGGGGCAGAGTGGAGGGTCATGGTCAGCACCTTCGGGGAAGTGTGAGAGGAGCCAGCGGCTCTTACCAGAGACTCTGGAGGCCTGGTGTGTTCCTGATCCCTCCCCTGGATTATAAGATGCAGTACATCATGTACCTTGTGCATGACACAACCTTCCAGCACATTCTGAGACAGTGCCTTGTCTGACACGCGGACATTTGGCCACCTACCGGGAGTAGACAGACCAAATGGGATCAGTTAGACTGCACACAGCTCGGAGGCTGTTCAGGTAAGGGTGGGGTATGAAAGTGGCACAAATTTGGCAAAAAGGAATACCAAACAGGTTGCATTTTTATTTCTTGTTTTTTTGTTTGTTTGTTTTGTTTGTGTTGTGTTGTTTTTTGAAATAGGGTCTCGCTGTGTAGACCAGGCTGACTTTGAACTCAGATCTATCTGCCTTGGCCTTGAGAGTGCTGGGATTAAAGATGGGCCTACCAGGCCGGGCTACAAGTTGCATTTTTCAAATCCCATTAGCTTCCAGAATTGCATGTTTTTAAGAAAGCAAACCTGGCCGGGCGGTGGTGGCGCACGCCTTTAATCCCAGCACTTGGGAGGCAGAGCCAGGCGGATCTCTGTGAGTTCGAGGCCAGCCTGGGCTACCAAGTGAGTCCCAGGAAAGGTGCAAAGCTACACAGAGAAACCCTGTCTCAAAACAAAACAGAACAAAAAAGAAAGCAAACCTGATCCAAGGGTAGCAACAGAGCTTGGCCAGAAAACAAGCCTGGCCTCCCCTGGACGTAACCACTGCCCTGGGTTTGTTCTTCCCTTTCAGACAGTGTCCTATACCCAGTTTCTATTACCCACAAATGCCTTCGGAACCCGGAGGAACACCATAGACTCCACCTCCTCCTTCTCCCAGTTCCGGAACCTGAGCCACCGCAGCCTCTCCATGGGCCGGGCCAGCAGCACCCAGGGGAGCCTTGATGCAGGTAACTTTGGCTCAGAAGGGTCTGGTGGCTGGTGGTAGGATGTGCCTCAGTTTACAGCACAAATAGGATCTCCTTTTGTGCTGGTTAGAGGAAGGGTCCACAGGGGAGGTGAGGGGCAGGCCTGAGGTGTGCTCTCAGGCCACAGACTCACACCCATACCACAGAAGACCTTTCTCTTAATTAGCTGCTCGGTTCCCAGCCCCCAGGGCCTACCTGTGCGGGGTGGGGGGTGGGGACAAAGCTGTAGCACTCCCCCCGGCCTCGGCTCCTCATTCACCTGTGTTCTGTGGCTGCACTCTGCGTTCTGTGTTTCCCCGTGCAGTTGGGTCCTGAAGTGCGGGTTGGGTGAGCATTTCCTTTGCAGTGCTCACAGTTAGGAACTGGGTTGGCTTTTGAAGGATGAGCCTCATACCCATGTTCGCCCATACATAGGTACAAGGATAAAAACTCTTACAGGGAAATTCCAGGTGAGGGGCCTAGGAACGGCTGGCAAAGTGCCTACCACAAAACACAAAGACCTGAGTTCAGATCCCGAGCACCCACATAAAAGGCCAGGCATGCACTGTGTGTGTGTGATCCTAGCACTGAGGAGACAGGCAGACCCTTGAGTTTTGCTGGCCACTAGTCTGGCAGTATTGGTGAACTCCAGGTTCCATGAAAGACCCTGTCTCAAAAGATGATAAAAAAGTGATTGAGCGAAACATCTTACATCAACCTCTGGTCTCCACACACACGTACACCTGCACACCAACTTACAAAGTCATGCTCACACTTACCACACACACGAAATTCCAAGTGAAGGTGAAGTTCCCTGGGTCAGCCTGCCCCTGTTGTAATCCCCCATCACCAGCAAAGGTCACTTGTATCTGTGTTTGCTGGTGGCTACCACAGTTGGGACATGATTCACACACAGCAGCCTGTCTAGAAGCATTTACCCAGGTCGTGGCCCTGAATGGTACAACTGGGTTTAGCAGTTCTCTGTGTCAGCTTAAAGAGCAGGCTGGTCTAGGACCATGTCCTGTGACCTACAAGGGTTCCCCACAGTTCACATGCTGTGTCAAGTTTTGTATTCTTCTGGGTCAGGGAAATGAACACATAATTTACTTACATCCATAGGAAAAAAATCAGAATGGTAAGAATTGGCCAATCTTTTTGTGGGTGGGTAGATATACCTCACTGCCAAGCAGAGACAACCCCTAGAAATCAGCCGTTGTGAGGTGACTGAGACAAATGGCCCTGAAGCCACCTCGTCTTTAATGACTGTCCCAGCAGCCTCAGCCTCGAGGAGTCCAGGGCCCCTAATTACCTTGTGCTTGTGCTCTTCAGGAAGTGACCTGGGAGACTTTATGGACTATGACCCAAACCTCCTGGATGACCCCCAGTGGCCTTGTGGCAAGCACAAGCGAGTGCTGACATTCCCTTCCTACATGGTGAGTGGTGTCCGACGGGTGGCCGGGTGGTTAGTGCCCACAGCATCCTGGAGTGGCCTTGGGTAGCTCTCCGGACTGTGCACCTGGGACATTTTATTGGAGTTCTCCAGTCAGAGTTGCAGCATTCTGGTTAACTGGCCTGGGAATGCCACTTAGAGAGGAGTTGAGAAGGCTGGGTCCAGTGGACGAAAGCTACCAGCTTAGTTTTAGAGACCTTCACTTCCGAGAAGAGCATGCCAGAATATACACACCCCAGACTCCACTAGGGAAGGGCCTGACCTTTCCGTGGGAGCACCAAGTTCAAGTTGAGCTGTGTTTGGATCACCTCAGTGACTGTAAATCTCCACGTGCATTCGGAACCACGGGCAAGTAGGACGCAGCTGTTAGAAGCGAGCACTCTTCTTGCTGTGTGTGTTTCGTGACTTCCTGGTTTCCCTTTGTGTATCTCGATTACACTTTCTGGCTGACTACCTTCTCTGCCGTGGTGGGCTCCTGCTTCTGTAGACACCCCTTTCTTTGGGTAGAACTGTCCCACTTGCTACGGAGCAGGAAAGAGAGAAGTGGACTGACCAGACCTGTCATACACAGCATCAGCAGAGCGAACATCTGCCCAGATGCCCTGCTTCTCTGTACCTTCTGCATCCCATGGGACATCAGGGCAGGCAACCAAGGCACTTCCTCCCCTGGGTCACTTTAGCTGCTTATCTTAGAAGCCCTACCCTCAGCATTGAGCCCAAGGGTTCTCACTGAGGTCTTCCGTGTCTACGGAAGCCAAGGGGCAAAGCCACTCCAAGTACTCAAAGGTTGCCCTTAGTGGTTTCGAACCACCAGTCAGCACTTGTAGTTCAGAGTCCTGCTGAGCAACTTTCAAAGTCACTTAATTTAAAATGACCCTGTCCTCACTCTCTTATCCCTCGCTCCTAGCACGATAACAAAATCACAGTTGTGTATAGGTAGGGATTATTGGGTTTAAATGTTTTCAGTTTGTTGTTTTTTTTTTCCTATTCCATGATCTGTTCATTCAAGGAACAAAACCAAGATTCATTCACCTTCCCCAGATTCCAATGCTTAAATATCCCATGACAAAAGCCTGTGCCCTTGTATTAAAGGAGCCACTTAAAAGTTACCATTTACATGAGAACATGTATTTTCAGTGTGGGCCCCACTTTACCGATGAATGTTCACTTTATTAACTAACTTGGGCAGGAAACTGTGGCTCAGAATCCCAGTGAGACCCCTTGCTATTGGCAGGAAGTGGGGTGCTGAGTCTCCAGCTTCTGAGTCGGGCTCTGCTCACTGATTTTGCCTGGCCGGTTCTGAATGGCCTTCCCTGTGCAGTCCGCAGTGGGACCTAAGGGCAGGATGTGAGGCCCGTTCTCTAGCCAGAAGATTAACAGATGTCAGAGGTTTGAGACAGTATGAAGGTATACTGCTTGCGGCCGATGGTGGGGTCCTGCAGGGGACTCCCCCACGGAGATGCTGTCTTGTGGCGGCACTGACCTCCCTTGGACAAGCATGGCCAGATCCCATTTGCTCGCTTACTTCACTGTGAGCTTTGAAGCTCTGGGCCACAGCCTGTGCAGACTCACAGGACGCAGCTCATTTGCCCTCCTTAGACACTTGGATGGCTTTCCAAGTGAGAGTGTATGTGCAGCCCTCCTCAGCCTGTGTCCCCAAGTGGGCCATTTTTCATGTGCTGACATTGGGCCTCTGTAAGAGTCCGTGTTTTACAGAATGCCATCACTCTTTGGCTGCATTTCCTAGCCCAGGCCATGAGGCTTCTCTCCTATCCTGGCCCCAGACATGGTACTTTTGATAAAAGACAGGACATCCATTCTTTTGTGTCACCACTTAAATTGTTGACAATGTGTGATGGACAGCTTCAGACCAGCTTCTGCAACTCACAGGAGCCTGCAGGCTACAGGGGATTTACACTGACCTTGTAGGAACTAGGGTGCAGGACTCTGTTTTCATGGGTTTGCTCGACTGCTGTATGCTGGCGAGCAAGTCTAGAATTTGTTCATTCAGCAGATTTAGTTGCCGCCCTACTGTGTGCTCCCTCACTTCTCAGAGAACTGTCAGCCACAGTCCCCTCTCTTTGGCCTCAGAATGAGTGGGAAAGTCCAACGGCGAACATGTAGACAAATGACTGTGTAGACAAATGACTGTGGTCGTGAGGGGGGTGTGGAAGGTGTGAAAAAGTGATAGGAGCTGACAGGTCAGAGGTGGGTTCCCTGTGGGAAGGCAAGGGTGTGTGCAGAGTGGGGTTGACACCGTAGAGTGACAAGCCTGCACCTGTAATAGGCCGGTGACTCCCAAGAGGGACAGTAAGAGTTGGGGTTATTTGAGCAGGTTGCTAAAGGGCCCTCAGTAGAAGCCTGAGGCACACGAGGAGGAATGGGAAGCTCTGCTCAACCCGACAGCCTTCCCATGAGGTCGATGCAGGTCTCTGAGGCCCAGTGCTTCCTGCTGCACCTTCCGCTGGCTCGTGGGAGCAGGTCCTAGGGACTCCTCAGCCTCTGGATCCTGCTGCCTTAGCTTCATCTTCTCAGGCCGCAGTCCAGGCTAAACCATCTCCGTGCAGAACCCAAGCCTGAGACCTTGGGATGATTGTCTCGTGTTTGAGGAAGTGCCGTGGAATTTCAGGCTCCACTACAGCCATTTTAAGTGTGTAGTCTCATGAATTCTGTCACTAAATCTCAGTATAGATTTAGTCTGTTTTCTGATTCCCCAACTTCACTAAAGGCAGCACTGTTCTGACTTCCGAGACTGTTTAGTTTTTCACTTATCCTGAAAGTTTGTGTAAATGGAAGTACAGGCAGTATACTCTCTTTGGTCTATCTTTCACACAGCGTGGTGTTAGTGAGAGTCACCCGGAGTTGTACTGAATTGCTGACAGTGTTGGATAAACACAGTTTGTCCATCCTCTTGTGGTTGGCCATTTAGTTGTCTCTGGTGTGAGGCTCCCATGAAACCGCTGTCAGTATCCCTGTACGTGGCTCCTTGTGGGTCTGTACTTCCTCTTTTCTTGGGTAAGTACCTGCAGGGGTCATTCAGCATTACCCATCCAGGCTGTAGCTGGATATGTGTCTTCTCTGCTGTTGGTCTAAGGATATGTCTGCAGGTGAAGTCCCCGCTTCCAGAGTGGAAATGACACCGAGGTGGCCCTCACACTCTTGGCACATTCGTTTCTATAGTTGCTGACCCCGCAGGTCACACTCACACCTAGCCATCATGAAAAGGCAAAAGTTAGACGTTGGACTTGAAACCTCCCGGGGCAGGTGTGAAGACCACGGTGTAGCTGCACCTGTGGTCCAGCCTGCGCACTTCTGGAAGGTGACCACAGACCATGAAAGCACGTCATAGAAGGAGACCACAGACCATGACAGCACGTCAAGCTGCCCGGCTACATGCAGGTTCTTGTAGGGCATTAGCTAATGTGCAGCCAGAGGGCAGGAGGTCTGGTGTCAGGACCTCACTTCCTGTGCTCCGGTGCCTGGTGGATAATTAAGTTTCACTAGAGAGTGACTGTGTATCATTAGAGCCTGCCAGCTTGTATTGGTAGTGGTTTTCATTGTTACCTGGTTTCCTTTTATGGGTGTAGAAAGCAATTAAGAAGAGACTATGAGAAAGCTCTGCGGGAAGGTCAACACAATTAACCCTGTGTGAATGGATCAGTGAATGCTTTGACATAAGAAAACTGACAGACATTCTTGATGGTGTCCATAGATACCCACATCTCGACAGAACACCTGTTGGATGGGTCTCTGATATAGTCCTCTTATTCCATTTACCTAATAGCAGAATCTGAGTCTTTTGGCAAGCCCACACAGCATCCTTGAAAATCCCCCGTAACCTGTAGAAATTTATCTTAGGATCCGGTTTTCCAGTACACTGTGAAATGCTGAGCAATGGGAAATAAAGGACTCAGGAAAAAGATTCATCTGGCCTGCCCTGCTTGGTGGCTGGACTCTGCCCCCACCTCTATTAGAGAATTTTTATTCTTGTTGCTTGTTTTCATTAAGAATTATACTGGTGGCCGGGCGATGGTGGCGCACGCCTTTAATCCCAGCACTCGGGAGGCAGAGCCAGGCAGATCTCTATGAGTTTGAGGCCAGCCTAGTCTACAAAGTGAGTTCCAGGAAAGGCACAAAGCTACACAGAGAAACCCTGTCTCGAAAAACCAAAAAAAAAAGAATTATACTGGTGACTTCGGTGCCCACCTGACTGCAGAATACCCAAGGCGTGAAGCATCTGCTGTCCACCAAAGGTCTGACAGTGAGCGTGCCTCAGAGGGCACAGCGACCCGCAGCATGACCCTCCCAATGTGTCAGTGAGAGCTGCGCACTGCTTCCTTCAAGGCTCCACTGTTTGGAATCCGCGGGGTAGACAGCACCAAAGGCTGCCTGCCCATCCACACAGTTCCCTTATCGTTCACCGTTGTCCTCAGAGAGTGGATTAAATGCACGGGACAGCTGAAATGCCCATCTGCTGTGGTTAGATGGATTCAGTCCCCTGCGCCCCTGCCTAATTACCTGAACAAGTAGAACATCTGCTTTCAGCTGCCCCGCTGAACTGGGAATGCTGATGGTTCTCGGACAAGTGCAGTCGAAGCAGAACTGAACACTGATGTTCCCAAGGGCTGGAAGGAGCTGCCTAGATCACTCCCTGCTACTCCTCCTCCCGTTTAAGGTATGGTGGGGAAACTGAGGCAGCCTTACTTCCTTGGAATGTTCCCACCAGGATGGGGTGAATTCTGGCCCCGAGAGACAGTAGCAGAGTGGGCGGCATGTGTGCCCCTGTTCAGAGCTGCTTATGAGAGGGATCAGACTGTCGGCCCTAGAGGAGAGAGGCCAGAGCTCCACCAGAACAGCCACCTGTTAGCTCTAACCCCCCGGCCGGTCTCCCACATCGTTATTGACGCTTATGGCTCCCTTCCCTCTGCCACTGCACTCCGGGGGGTCTTCTCTGTGCAGCCTCCCAGCTGGGGCCATGAGCTGGAATGAGTCCAAGTTCACCTCCTTGGACTTCCTCTTTCAAGAGTCAAGGTGGGGTAATTATAAAAAGCAGTGCACCCCCGTGTCTACACAGATGGAGTAGATACTTCTACCTAAGTAACTGAATTGTAGGCTTTTCATCTTTTTCAGGGTCATGTCTCTCTCTTTCCTCCCTCTCCCTCTCTTCTCCCCTCCTCCCTCCCTGCCTCTGCTGAGGCCGGGCTCCTTAGTAAAGCACATTGCTTTGGAAGTTGCTGTCTTTGGGGGCGGGAGGGGGGTGGTCTTCCCCTCTGCTGACACTCCTCTTCTCCTTTACACAGCTGAGTGCACACTGCCTCCTGCAGCCAGAGAGCTGGGGACAGGTGTGTCCGGGACCTCACTTTGGGTGTTGATCAGAAATGTAAGTGCTGAGGCCAGCACTGCCCATCCGTCCTGCAGCCTGGAATTAGGTGATGATGCGCTGAGCTTCCGGGCAGGAAGGAGCTGCACCCTCTTTAATTAGCACTTTGATTTATAGTAACACACCTGGAAAAACCTAGCCTTGCAAGTCTTTTTTCATTAAGAAAATTTTTTCATTCATTTTACACACCAATCAAAGATCCCCCTCTTCCCTCCTCCTGCCCCCATTCCCTCCCCCCTCAACCCTCCCCCTACTCCTGCACACAGGAGAAGGCAAGGCCTCCCATGGGGAGGCACATCCAGTAGAGGAAAGTCCAAGTCCTTCCCCCTGCCTCAAGGCTGCATGATGTGTCCCATCATAGGTAGTGGGTTCCCAAAAGCTCCCTCATGCACCGGGGGTGGATTCTGATTCTACCACCAGAGGCCCCCCAACTGGTGTGTTAGACTGGTAGGTGAGCTTAAAGCATCAGCTTTGTGTTTCATTCATTCTCCCCCAAGCCAGAAAGGGTGGCTAGCAGGAGCTGGGAACTCTGAGCCTCTTTGGTTACTGTCATCCCTAAAGGAACAGTGGTCACTTGGGTGGCTAGGAGAGCTGGCCTCTAAGGGTCATCTTACAGCTCCCTCAAGAGATGGTGATGGGGGCTGGAGAGATGACTCAGAGGTTAAGAGCACTGACTGCTCTTCCAGAGGTCCTGAGTTCAATTCCCAGCAACCACATAGTGGCTCACAGCCATCTGTAATGAGATCTGGCACCCTCTTCTGACCTGTGGTCATACATGCTGTATACATAATAAATAAATAAAATCTTAAAAAAAAAAAAGAGAGGGTGATGTCAGTTGTCAGAACTCGCCATACTCTGGTCTCCACAGGGACCTATAGCTCAGAAGACAGTGACGACTTCATCCCTCTGACACCTGCTAGGGTAGAGGGTGGCCCTCTGCATCCTACAAGGTTTGGAGGCAGACTGCCATACTGGGGGTGGCCCACTCATCCTGATTAACCCCAGGCAGGTGAGTGAGCAGATCACAGGGACAGCCTCCCCCACCCCCAAATCAGGTGTCCTGTGGCCATCAGCACAAAGCAGGTGTCTGGTAGAGATGCCAGAGGAGGCGACTGAGGCCTAAGTATTTCAGCAGTGTGCTCCAGGCTACCCGGATGCTATGAGGCAGAGCTGGGTGTAAAACCAGATCTCTGGCTGAGTCTCCCTGAGAAGAGGAACAACAGGAGGACCAGAAAGAGAGCTGCCACACACAGGGAGAGTGCCTGGGAAGGCCTCCTGCAGACCAGGGTTGACTCTTGGGAGGCTGAGTTGGCGCTGGGGCAGGGGGCTGAACTCTCAGCCTGGGGTACAGTCAGGGTCAGAGTCTAGTAAGGCTGCACAGCAGCACTTTTAAGTACAAGTCACGACTGTGGCTGGGACTGTGGCCGGGACTGTCCCCCTTAGAGAGGCTGTGACCTCCTGTGACCTTAGGATGTTGTTTGATCTGCACCAGGCTCTGTGCAGATGTACATGAGGTAAAGGGAGGTGAGCAGAGAATAATGTTCCTGATCTGACATGACCGTGTCCGTAGAAAGGGGCAGAAAAGACAGCGGATGCTGTCGTGAAGCATCGTCAGTCTTGGGTATCAGAAGCTTGGGAGGGTCAAGGAGGGTTCTGGAGACAGAGTAACAAAGCGTTACGTTCCATGAGCACAGCCTGCCAGCCCGCCCAGAGTGCAGGCTTCCAGCTAGGTCTCTAACCTGCAGTTGTCAAAGCTACTCAGATTGTGGGAGCTTGTTACAGCAGGCCAGGAAACCAAAGTGGCCACTTCCTGTTCTCAGCCAGCCTCTCAGAGCACAGCTTACCACCATCTTCTTCCATCATGTCCTAGAGACATTTCACTGCCCACCCCCAACCTCAAAATAGACTGAGGCAGACAGGCTACAGTGACTGTTACTGGGCACTTGCCTCAGTGACGTGGGCTGTCACAAGCCTACAGCTGTCCAAGTACACGGATGCCTCTAGCATAAAGCAGTCTCCCTCTAGGATCCTGGTCCACTGGTCCCACCTGGTCATATGCCAATCTCATACTTCATGTGAGGAGCATCTTTATTTGGGCTTCCTCTGTCACTCCCCCTGGAGGACTACCAACTACTTGGCGTCAGATGCTGAGGCTGTGAGGAGAGACTGCCTCCCTGAAGATCGAGTAAGGGGTTTCTTGTCTACGCAGTGGCTGTTACTGGGCTTTGACTGAGAGGTGATAATGGCAGAGGACCCTCCACACACCTCAAAGCGTATTATCTAACTTAGGAAAAACGCGTGGTGGTGCATTGCCCACCCATCATCTCAGCACTCAAGGTTAAGGCACGAGGACTGAGTTTAAGGCCAGCCTGGGCTATATAGTGAGACTCATGAAGCCCAAATAAAAGAGCACATCAAATGCCAGATTGGGGCCAATTAGTCGGAAGGTTTCTCTGATCCCACCTGGCCCTGCAGTCCCTCAGCTGCTTATAAAATGATCATTCAGAGGCTTAATATTATTTACAAACTGTGTGGCCTATGGCAGGCTTCTTGCTAGCTAATGCTTGTAACGTAACACATTTCTGTTTATCGTAAGTTGCCACGTGGCTGTGGCTTACCGGTACTTTCACATCTTGCTTCTCCTGGCTGTGCTGGCGTCTCTGAAACCTTCCGACTGCAGCCAAGCCTTATGTGCTGGGACTGCAGCTGGAAACAAGCACACGGTGGCTGAGAGTGGTGGAGAATGTCACGTGTGCCTGCAGGTGGCATCTCGGTGACCTTGAGAGTTTTGCCATCCAGGTACTTAGAGCATCTACCACAGACATCAACACTCAGTTGCCCAGCCTGAACTCACCCCAGGAAAGGACACCCAAGCTCCTTACCCCAAGAGCAAGGATGGGGCCACTTGTAACTGTAACAGTGTGTCACAGTTCACTGCAAAGCTCAGCACCCACTCTGGATGGGGCTATGGTCCTGTTGAGAAAGTGCTTGCCTTGCGAGCCTGAAGACCTGAGTTCAGTCCTTGTGAAAAAGACTGGGCATGGTAGCATATTTGTAATTCCAGTTCTGGGGAGGTGGAGAAAAGGAAGGATCCCCTAAAGCTCCCTGGCTGGTTAGCCTAGCCTAATTAGTGAGCTCCAAGTCAGTGAAGGACCCTATCTCAAAGTGGTGGACAGTATTCCTAAGGATGATGCTGAGGTTGTCCTCTGGCCTCCATGTGTTCTTGTAAATCTCTCTGTCTCTCTCTCTCTGTCTCTCTCTGTCTCTCTGTCTGTCTGTCTGTCTCTCTCTCTCTCATACACACACACACACACACACACACACACACACATACACACACATATTTTCAAAGGTGGGTGGTGGTTATTACAGAGTAGGTTCTAACCAGAGAATATTTGGGAACACTAGCAGAATAAGAATGATCCCCAAGTCACCTGGGAAGCCTTGCCTATGGGATCAGGACTCTAGTTTCTGACCAACAACCAGGGCTAGTTCCCACTACCAACAGGTAACTACCACAGTTGGGAACCCACTACCACTAATGGTGGCTGCCGACCATGCTGCCCCTGCTGTGGTCTACACCTACAAAACAGACATCTAAAGCTAATGAGCTAGAACTTCTCAACATAGAAGTCAACTAAGAAATAAGTTGTGGGTGCCTAGACCAAAGGTTGAGTGACTTTGACTTGCTAAGGTGGCTACTTCTTTGGCTGTGTCTGTATCCACACCTCTTTGTGACAGCCTCATGAGAAGGGAGCTACTGCCAGCTGTTCATTGTCTGATTAGGGAAGAACAGCCTGGAAGACATTGTATAAGGGGAGCTGAAGGTGCCAAAGTGGGAGGCCAGGATCTCACTCCTGGCCATGCCTGCAGCTTGTCAAGGCTGGGACAAGCTTCTCCACCATCCTGGACTTCAGTTCCCTCACCTGTAAGTTGAAATGGGTGCATTCAAAGAGAAGCATTGGGCGTACTTTCATATATCCCACATCCAGTCGGCTGCAGTGGTTTCCTCAAATGTTTGGACAGACCTGTTGGAAAATTTAGATGCTCATTTGCATTGCTTGCCCTGGTTTGGTGTTACCTGATTTCTCATCTCCCCAAGTGTCACACAGGTGTGAGCTGGATTAGCAGAACCAAGTTAATACTGCTACAGTTATTTTCATTGGGCTAGATGTGGCTTTTAGCTGCCACCAAATGCAGTTCATGTGTCTATTCTAAGTCTTGTCAAGCTGGGGTGTAGCTTAGTGGTATAGCACTTGCCAGGGCGTACCTAAAGCCCTGGGTTCAAGTCTCAGCCCTGCCAAAATCTAAAACTTCATTAAGCATCACATCAAACCACGTGTTCAGAGAAGCCTACCAACTTTAGTCACAGTCACTAAGAAATGCTGGATGGATTTTCCTAGTAGTGGGTCATCACTGGGGCCTGGTGGCCTTCACATAATTTCCTATGGCAAGCGGTGGCCTGCTGAAGGTGGCAGAATTCAAGCAAGGGACTGTTAATAATATTACCATTGCATACATATAATGGAATGCCACTCTCCCTCTGAAGGGACATTCATACACGATGCCACCTGAACCTTGAAACGTTAACACTGAAAGAAACCTGTGATGGAAAAGCAAACACGTTGTTCTACTTACATGAGACAAAAGTTAGCTGGGGGCTGGTGAGGTGGCTAAGGAGGTAAGGATGCTTGTCACCAGGCCAGGCAACCAGAGTTTGATTTCCTGAACTCACATGCTAGGAGGAGAGAACCAACTCCCACGAGTTATCTTCTGACACCGCCCCCCCCCCCCCACACACACACACAAAACATGGCAAACACAGTCATGTACATTCGTACATACACAAACCAGTGTTTAAAAAAGTATCTGGACATGGTACTTACATATATAATACCAGCAGGAAGAATGCAGAGTTCAAAGCCAGGCTTGACTACCTAGAACCCTATCTCAAAAACAAACAATGAACCATGATGCTTGCCTGGGCTCAAGAGTGAACAGGGAGATGTTCTGTGGAGTACTGGATATGGCGGTGGTAATGGTTGCATAACGATGTTAATGTCCTTAATGCCACTAAATGGTGCCTTAAAATGGTGAATTTTATGCATAATTTGTCAAATTTTACGAAAACATGTTTAAATGGTAGCTAGAATGTGTTGAGCATCTATATAATGTGCAAAGAAGTGTACAAAGCATCTCTCGTGGTTCCCACAATAACCATGGGAGGTAGAATGTGAGATGTGGGATGGTGAGGGGTGAGGGTGGAGCTTTGAATCCTGCCGGCGTGGACAGCAGGCAGAGACACAGGTACTCCCTAAGGCCTACTGGCTGCTTTGGGCCTAACCTGTACATCGTTAGTACATCTGACCCATGGTTGCAGTGACATTTCTTGCCTCCTCTATTACAGACCACAGTGATTGACTACGTGAAGCCCTCAGATCTCAAGAAGGACATGAATGAAACCTTCAAGGAAAAGTTTCCTCACATTAAGTTAACACTCAGCAAAATCAGGAGGTATGAGAGCTGCATATCACCCTGAACTTCCCCGCCAGGTCTCTCCAGCACACTGTAAGCTCACATTGTACTGTAGTTTTTCTTGTTCCTCAGGAAACAATGTAGTCATGTTCACCAGACACTCTTCGGCTGCTGGCCGACTCCTGCCTGGATGTGGTGGGAGAGCCCAGGGCATCAGGCATCCGGCCAAGCTCCTGACCCTCTAGTTGACACAGCTCTTAGGAAGACGTTCATTCAGTGAGAAAACCATTTCATGCTGTGTGCCTGCAGCTTGCCAGCTCAGTAAGATTGAGGTTATAAAAAGCAGCGAGGATGGGTCTGGGGACGGGACTCAGTAGAGTGCTGGGCTTTCATGCACAGAGCTTGGGTTCAAGCTCCCTCACTACACAACCCAGCCGTGATTATAGTCCTATGATCCCAGCACTTGGGAGACAGAGGCAGAAATGTGAAATCAGCCTAGGACACATGAGTCATGTCTGAAAACACAAACTAGAATGGGCGGCATTCAGGTCTTGGCTTTCTGAGATGCAGGCAAAACAGAAGTACATAGAATTGGCACCTTTGGGCATGAGATAAATCCACCTAACTAGACATGACTTCAAGGCCCTATCTTTGAGCAGCCACCAAAATGGTCAAAACAGAGAGACAGGCCCAGAGTTCCCATACCGATGATTGGATGGGTTTGTGGTGACCCACATCTGCCAGCCACTCACCGTGCCAAGTTAGAGAGGTGCTGACTCATGTTGTGGTGTCCACACCATGCCTCCAACATCGCTGGCGTGTGCTCACCACCTCCGAGATGCTGGACTATGTGCAGGGCTTACCCTAGTGTACATCCTAATGCAGATTTGATTCTGGCATGTTCCAAACCAAAGAATAAGAAAAATCAAGCATCCATGCTCTGTCCGTTTGCTAGGCAGCTTTCCCAAAGACACTTCGTGGTTTTTCCTTTAGCCAAACACTTCTCCCACCTGACTTAGAGTCTAATCAATAATTGGCAGAACTTAGATCAAGCACCTGATATAGCTCTAAAATGAGCGTGGATCCCTTTCTTCACTCTGAGGAGGCTCACCCCTCTTTTCCTGGGAACGCAGATATACACTGTGTTCAGTGGTGTCCTTCCAGGCCCTGTTCTGTGGAGTGCTGCCTTCCCGGAATCCTTGGAAGTGGCGATGCTGTGCTGTGTCTGTGTCAGTTGACCCACAGACGGGCCCGAGCCCTAGTTCCACGGTCTGCCCCCACATCTACTGTGGATTAACCTCGGCCTACATCCCCCAGTGGGAGGGAAATAGAGAAAATGCTTTCCGTATGGTGTCATAGTCCGGTGGGTCCCCTGAGCTCTCTCAGGACTCTACTTCCTGTCTTTTTCTAGTCTGAAGAGAGAGATGCGGAAGCTTGCCCAGGATGACTGTGGCTTTGAGGAGCCCACAGTGGCCATGGCCTTTGTCTACTTTGAGAAGCTCGCACTCAAGGGGAAACTGAACAAGCAGAACCGGAAGCTCTGTGCTGGAGCGTGTGTGCTGTTAGCAGCCAAGGTCGGAAGTGACCTCAAAAAGCACGAAGTCAAGCATCTAATTGATGTAAGTGAGCTGGGTCTTGATGGCGATGGGAGCGTGCACTCAGCCCAGGGGTCCCCTGGCAGGCAGATGGACCTTAATGTCGAGTAGAGATGAGGGCTGGAAAATAATTTGTAGAAGGAATGGATGATCTACCTGGACAAGATGAAAAAGCCATCATTAGGGTCATGACCTAAAAACCCTTCTCGGATAGCATGAGTGATGAAGTTATTCTCACAGCCAGAGAAGCCATGTGTCGTAGTTAGGGTTTCCATTGCTGTGAAGAGACACCATGACCACGGCAATTCTTACAAAGGAAAACATTTAATGGGGGCAGCTTACATCACGGTGGGACAGGGCGGCATGCAGACGGACATGGTGCTAGAGAAGGAGCCGAAAGCTCTACATCTTGATCTGAGGATTGATACACTGGGTGTAGTTTGAGCATCGGAGACCTCAAAGTGACAGAGACACACTTCCTCCAACAAGGCCACACCTACTTCAGTCAGGCCATGCCTACTAATACTGCCACTCCCTTTGGGACAATTTTCTTTCAACCACCACACATGGTAATCACGAGAGTATTGTGAGCAGTGTGACTCCAGAACACCCATCAGAAATGCTGGGTTCAGTGTGATGGTGTGGCCTTACTTCTAAAGGACAGCCCCACCAAACAAGGACACCCTGACGGCCTAGGGTGGGTTTATGAACACCTGTTTTAACATAGAGTGTAGGCGGGCTTTGTGGTTATAGGCCATGAACTTGGGAGGCTAAGTCGGGAGGACTGAAGTTCAAAGCCAGCCAGGACAGCCTGGGGAGACCCTGTCACAAAATAAAAAGAGTGGGGAGGATGTAGCATGATGGTAGAGTGCATGCCTCGCATGTGAGGCCCTAGGTTCCAATTCCCAGTACACAAATGTATATTATATGTTGTGTGTGTGTGTGTGTGTGTGTGTGTGTGTGTGTGTACTGGAGTGTATAAATCAAAAAAGAAAAGCAGAGCAAGAGCCAACTGCCATTGAAAAATGGGTTATTACTCCCAGTTCCAAGAGGAAGGACCTCCCGTAGGCGGCTGAAGCACAACTGTGGACTAGGCGGCCTAAAGGACAGAAACTGACTTCACATCGCTGTAAAAGCCGGCAAGTCTAAGGTCCATTCCTGGCCTTTTTTCTGAATCTGGTCTCCTTTAAGGTCACCAAGCTCACCAAGACCACCCAGCTCCTCTGAGTTCTCCTCAGAGGCCTTACCGCCTAACTGCACTTCACTGGGCCAAAGCCAGCAGCACTCATTTGTGAGGGACAGACATTCAGTGCATGTGACCAGAGCCCCATGGGGCCACGGGGGCAGAAGGAAAGGGGAGGACTGTGGCAAGAGCCTTCATTATTGTTTCCAGAAAGGGGTGCCTGCCAGGCCGGTGTGCAGGCTTAGGAACGCCCATTTTGAAGAATGCCTATCAGTGCTGGGCCGCCTGCAGGTGACCACACTGCTCACAATACTTCCGTTAGAGTGAAGAAAGGACCTGGGACTCTTGATCGATTCGCTTGCGTTTTAAAAGCATTCTCACAAGGAGTTGTCCACTGGTGCTGATTGGAGCATTTAAGGAGCCAGTGTTTATAAATGCTCAAAGCCCGGCACACATAACTAAGTGCCCTATAAATGTTAGCAATTTTGCGTCCAACCAAAAGTGATTGTCCAGCTCACTGCTGAAGTCCCGAGGCTCTGCTGTTCTCTCTGGAGCCCTTGCAGAGCTGGCTCCAGGATGGTCCCGAAGAGAGGCCTTCAAAGGCTGAGACCTCAGAGGAGCTGGAATCACCAGGTTTATGGGCAGGAATCACAGGCTCTGGTGAGCAATCTTGAGCCTCAGGGCAGGTCTGCCAGGATGTCATATCAGGATCACAGGGCCGTGACTAAACTGTTGGGGCAGTAGGAAGAGTGTGCCCAGGAAAGGCAGGGACAGCAAAGAGGCCAGGCTGTCATAGGCCCAGAACAGATGGTTGGTGCGATGCCCTAGACACCTGCCTGCCTGCTGTCTAGTGATGAAGAGAGGAAGGTAGGTATTTGGTGTATATTTTTAAGAAAGAGTATTATTTATGTCATGGTTTCCTAGTTTTCAGAAATGCTGTCGAGTCCAGTGTGTGCAGTAGATGCGTGAACATGGAAGTGATCCTTGGGTGCCAAATGAGCATCAACAGGCTTACGCAATTGTCCCCACTGGCACACACATTGTTCTCCATTGACCTTTCCTGGTTTCAGTACCCAAGCCAACCACAGCGCCAGCACTGCATGGGGGAGTCCTGAGATGAGCCGTTTGTAGGTTTCAGGCTGTACACCAGTCTCAGCAGTGTGACGGAAGCTGCTCTCCCTGTCCCCCTTCAGACACGAGCTGTCCCCGTGTCCTGAGCCACCTGTGTGCACCAGCACCCACAGCCACCTCGACTGACTGCCCAAGCATCATAGCGTCGGTCTGAGCAACCCCCATGACAGCATCCGAGCACCTTCGTCTCGCCGCACGGCCAAGCCCAGAACAAGCCACAGAGCGCATTTGTGTAGCGTCCACTACAGCATCGTTACTCTGTTTTACTTGAGCCTATAACTTGGGCACAATAAGTCAACCTTTACTATAGATACACTATTTGATTACATATCTGTATGATGTGGTACTGTGGTTCCAGGATCTCCTTGGGGGTTCCCAGATAAAGTGGGAAATATACATATATGCATATAATTAATACATCTTCAGAAGTAGTGCTAATACAGTTCTGAGCATGTTTACACGATACACATTAAATCAGAGTTCAGTCCTGTGCCACACTGCAGAATCCGATGGTGTCAACACAGACCAACACAGCAGTTCTGATCTGAAAGCAGCTCCCTAACGTGAGAGCCCATCCCAGTTTTACCGCAGTACCATCAGCCACTGCTGGTAGATACTTCGTCAGCCAAAAGCTGAGACTGAGTGCTCTAACAAAAGGGGGGACTTTTTGTCCCCCGGTTTCTCTTCTGTTTCTAATCCTGGAAGCCAGTATTGTTGAGTGGACAAGTGAGGAGCCATTGGCCACTCAGCTGTTTAGAGGTGGGACAGCCTCATGGGGACTTGGGTCCCCACACGTGAGAGGACAAGGCTGAATCACAAATCCTCATCTTGTGTCATGCAAAGCTTTCCTGAGCTGCTCACTGGCCAACGTGCTCTGACCTCTAGGCCCGACTCAGTTATAACAGATGCAGTCAGAATCCCAATTAGAAGCCGGGTGGTGGTGGCGGTGCACGACTTTAATCCCAGCACTCGGGAGGCAGAGGCAGGTGGATCTCTGTGAGTTCGAGGCCAGCCTGGTCTACAGAGCGAGTTCCAGGAAAGGCGCAAAACTACACAGAGAAACCCTGTCTTGGGAAAAAAAAAAAAAAAAAAAAAAAGAATCCCAGTTAGAGCTCTGGGGTGGTGGCGCATGCCTTTAATCCCAGCACTTGGGAGGCAGAAGCAGGATGATCTCTGAGTTTGAGGCCAGCCTGGTCTACAGAGCGAGTTTCAGGACAGCTAGGGCTACATAGAGAAAGCCTGTCTCAAAAAACACAATTTTAAAAAAAAAAAAATTCCTGTTAGGTTTTGCCTCAGCACAGCAGATGAACATCTTGACATCTTGAGTTGTGATCACCTGTAAAATGGGCATAAATGCAACATGAACTTTAAGAACTTTTGGAGTAGTAAATGGATTTGTCATGGACCTCCAGACAGACCGCTGGCCCTCGGAGAAGGTTTGCTGTCTGCAGCACCAGCACTAAGGCAGGACACAGCTGGTACTAACCCTCTCCTCCGGCACCTTGCCTGTGATGCACAGACAGATGATTTGGGCATCTTTTCCTCACCCCTGAAACTCACACTGAAATTTGATTTCCGTTGTGGTGGTGTTGGGAGGGGACACCGAGGAGGACTTGTGCCATCTTTCGGGAATTGATGTCTCCTGAAACTAGAGTAGCTACAAGAGTAGTGTGTGAGGAGTGTGGCTGTGGCTGTGCATTCCTGGTTTCTGCACGGCATGGACCCAGCCGGCCCCTTCTGCTTCTCTCCCTGGAGAGATGGAGCCGCACAGCACCTTTACCAGATGCAACTGCCCGACTTCCAGAACCTCTCTTCTTTTAAAATTCACCCAGTCTCTGGTGATCTGTTATAGCAATGGAGAGCAGATGCATCCATGATAAATACTCATTGACTTGATAGTAGAAAAGTTGCACTTGGAAAAAAAACAAAAACGAGCCTAAGTTGTTAAATGCAAAACTAAGATGGTTCTGTTGACTTTGCAGAAACTGGAAGAGAAGTTCCGACTGAACAGGAGAGAACTGATTGCCTTTGAATTCCCAGTGTTGGTGGCCTTGGAATTTGCACTTCATCTTCCAGAGCACGAAGTCATGCCCCACTATAGACGCCTGATCCAGAGCTCCTAGCACAGGCCCTAGGAGGGCCAAGGACTGCTTCCTCCGAGTACGGTGAAGCCTCGCTTACTCCCAGAGACGAGTCGAGCTGAGCCTGCCCAGAGAGTCTCCTTACAGCTTTATTTTCACGGAGAAGCTGTACCTGGACCTTGCTAGGGAGACGCCGCTCAGGCTCGCCGAGAGGAGGCATGTGCTGGGGATGCTGGAGGCCCTCCCGGGTCCCCACAGCGGGAACTCAGTGCCCACTCTCCCTCCCAGGCACATGTGAAGTTTGAAGTTGCTCAGGGCCTTTACTGCAGACTGGTTCTGACTGGGAGCATGCTGTGCTGGAGCAGAGGGAACCAGATGTGCAGGCTTGGGGGACGAGGCTTAAAGTCCCTCTCCCTGTGTCAAGAGTGTGCCAATCTATTTTTATATCTGCCATCGGAAGTGCACTTTCCCTGGGCACAAGGGTGTGGGTGTGCAGATGTCTGAGGGGCACTGTTACACTTGACCCCCAAAGCCAATCCCCACCCTCTATGGAGCTGACTTGTAATGATTTCTAGGTGACAGTGACTCAGATCCAGAGTGACATCTCTGCTCTTAGGAAGTAACGCTGTCTGTGCGACTGTACCTGCCACCCGCTGGCAGAGATGACAGTTCAGAGTGGCGCGCTCCGACCTTCCTGCCCTCACACCGCAGGCTTCTGTCTAACGTCTAGCTCTTGCCTGTGGAGACATGAGGGCTGCACTCCATACGTGTATTCTTGTGCTCTATGTTAGAGTGCATAATGAGCGCGTTTATTGTGCTAAATACATATACATGTGTGTTTTATAAAAGTCTGCATTGGGGGTAAGACGCATGATTGGTGTCTTGTGGCTCTTGCAGCTGGGACAAACTACATTTCAAGCTGTGGTTAAGTTGATTGTTGGTACAAAATTGTGACTTGTCCTGATTCGCTCTGGGACTGCCTGTCCTGAAGCATTAACCATGCTGTCACCTGGTAGTTACACAGATGTAACTTTACCGAAGAAAGCTTGTGGCCATGGATAAAGAATTAAAATATTTTGTTCTTTTACAGATACATAAATGTGTGTGTGAACATGTAAGTCTCAGTCACCTTGTCATAGTTAGAGTTTCTATTGCTGTGGTGAAACACCATGACCAAAAATCAGTTGGGGAGGAAAGGGTTTATTTAGCTTACACTTCAGCATTGCTGTTCATCACTGAAGGAAGTCAGGACAGGAACTCAGACAGGGCAGGAGCCTGGAGGCAGGAGCTGATGCAGAGGCCATGGAGGGGAGCTGCTTACCAGCTTGCTTCACATGGCTTGCTCAGCCTACCTTCTTAAAGAACCCAAGACCACCAGCCCAGAGATGAACCTCCCACCATGGGCTGGGCCCTCCCCCATTGATCACTAAATGAGAAAATGCCTTACAGCTGGATCTCATGGAGGCATTTCCTCAGCTGAGGCTCCTTCCTGTAGTGACTAGCATGTGTCAAGTTGACACAAAAACCAGCCAGTCCACACCTCTGCAGCCAATTCCCTTGCATGCATGCCACCTCAGACCTCACCAGTTCTGGTGAGGTTGCAGACAGAGACCCCTCTACCTGGAGAAAGGAGAATGGAAAAAGCAAGTTTCCACAGCTGTTCTTAGCGGTTGGTGCTCAGAAGAATCTCAGTTCTACACCATGTAGTTTTGGTTTTTTAGAGACAGCCTCTCACTCTATAGCCCAAACTGAGCTCAAACTTGCAATCCTCCTGCCTCAGCCTCCCCAGTGTGACTGTATGCATGCCTGTCTATGAAACTGAAACTTGTTATTAGACATGGTCTCACTGTGTTGTCCAGTCTGGTCTCACACTCCTGGGCTCAATTCATCCTCCTGCCTCAGTCTCGCAGTAGCTAAGACTACAGATGTACACTGCCCATTCTGGCCCCTCAAGGTGGAGAAGCTGCAGCTGCTGTAAGAACATGAAAACTTTTAGGCTTTTAAACCTTAATTTCGCTGAATCCAGTCCTAAATATTTTGCTCTCAAGTTTCCTTGTCCAAGTATCAGTTGGGTAGGATATGATAGCACATAGAGTTGCTCAAAAGTTCAGCCAACCAGTATTGAAGGAATGCACACTGTTTACAAAGCAAATTGGGAAGCACAAAGCCTCCAGACTCCAGACCTTCAGAATGTCCACGGCCATCCTCTCTGGTGGTGCCCATCACCATGCAGCTGACTGACAGACGTGCTTTCAAGCTCCCAAGCCCTCACACAGAACCTACAGAAGAGAGAACTACTCTGATAGACAAGGCTCCTGTAGGCAGAGATGGCCCAGACAGTCAGGTGCTAAGCTGGGATGTGGGGGAACAAGTCCTTCCCTGTGTCTTCAAACAGGTTTATAGTCTTGGATTTGGGATGGTTCATATTTGGTCAGCTATAGATGGGCTCAAGGTGTCCCTAGTCTTTTTCCTTTGAATTTAAGCACTGTGGTTATGAGTGTGTGGAGGGGGAGCCTTCATGAGGATGTTGTGACAAGAACTCTTCTAGCTCATGTTCACAACTCCAGCTTTCTGGGGGAACAGAAGATGAGGAGAGTGAGGGACATACACCACTCAGACTCTAGACTCTTCCCCAGCCGTGGGCTCTGGCAAGGAGTCCAGAAGGAAACTTGAGCCTTTGCTGTGAGAAAGACACAAAGGCCAGTTCTAGAAGTTTCTGTGTCTTTGCCCTTTGGTCTATCACAGGGGGAAGATTCATGCACACCTCTTCTCTGAGGATTGACCTGAAGTTTTTCTAGGGTGGTCTCTAAGGAAACTCTGCTTGGGACAACAGGGCCGACCCCAGTCTGGTCTGCAAGCATGGGTACCTCTGCTCTAGCTAACCCCGGATGTGAAGGAACAGACGAGAACCAAACAGAAAAGTGGTACCTGTGAGAACTGGGCCAGTTCCCATGCCTCCCTGTACCTGTTCAGGAAGCCCTGGCCAGCCACGCATAGGGTAGAAGTCACTTCCCCTCTGCTAAGTCAGGAACTCTGTGTCAAATGCGAATGGGGTTTGTTTTCCTCAGTCTTTTCTTTCTGATCAGAAATTTGTTATCATCAGCCAGCAGGCTCTGCTTGGAGCGGTCACTTCACACAGATCACTCCGTGTCACGTGTCCCATCTTAGTGACTGGGAAGCGGGATTGGACCTAGGTTCCTTTCCTCCTTGTCACTCCTTCCTGTTCCCGTCATCCCTGCAACAACAAAGAAAACAGCTCCCATTCCTTATCTGTCGCTCTCTGACATTTCCTGTTCAATGCTCAACTGCCAAGTCCTTTGCACTCCAGGCCCTGGCTGCCTCTGGTAACTCAGGAGAAGCCGGGCTGCCGCCCCTTTGCAAGAATCAGATAGACAGAGGGAAGAGGAAAGGGAGCTCAGGTGGGGTGCCCCTAGTGGAGAAAGAAGTCTTCCCAGGCAGGAGGAAGCACCCCATGGGAAGGGTAGCCTGCAGTCACCGCCCTGGGACAGTTCAGGACAATGCTACTAGGTGGGGGCTGCTGTGGACAGGAGGAAAAGGCAAGGGTCGGTTCAGATGGGGTTCTCACAGTTCAGGTGAACACTGCTCCAACCAAAGGCGGCTTCCAGAAGTGCAGCCGCAAGGCAGAGCTGATGAGAGCCGCGGAGAGGAAAGCTGGCGGGATGAATGGTCTGAGTGAAGTGCTGGATGGGGAGGGTGGGTCAAGAGGACACTGAGACTAACACCATGGACAGACAGACGGGGCAACAGCATGACAGCGTCACTGATGAGAATCAGAGCCTACATGACAGAGAAGGGATGCTCTCAGCGCTCTGTGGATGAGGCTTCCTCCTTGGTGACAGGAAAGTTGGTTACCCTGCTCCCATCCAACCGGGACAGCTGTCCTCCAGAAGCCCTTTGGTGGTACGTGCCAGCCAAGCTGCCTGTGGCTTCTCTTCCTCCGTTCCCATGCAGAGTTGAGAGCTGGCTCTGACTTATTGATGCCAAGACCCTCCTCCATTTCCCCTCTGTCCAGCCAAGGGATAAGAGACAGCCTGAATACATGAAACCTCCCCCTGCCTCTGAGACCTGGAAGAGGAGGTTCCCCATTCTGCCCTTCAGACCTGAACACTCATCAGAGTACCCAGCATGCTGTCTGTCCATAAGTCTGTATGCCCATGGCATCAGCAACTCTTCAAATAAATCTATTACCCAAGAGGACAGTCTGCCTCAGTATCCCCCTTGAACCCTAAACCTGAAACCTTTTCATAATGGTGTGTGTTTGAACCGGGGACCTTTACATTTATTAACACCATGTACAAGACAGCCTGACACAGTGACTGAAGTGCCATCCTCATATGATATCAGAGCCAGGTGAAGAATGCTGCCAGCCTGGCCTTGCTCACCCTGGAGAGCCTGGGGTGGACTGGAAGAGGCATGGCCCCTTGATACTGGTAAGACCTGACCCAGCCCACTAATGAGAGATGGGGGGCTGGCTATTAGCTCAAGATTGATGGAGGCAACTTGGAAATAAAACAACTAGACGTCACCAGAGACAGAATTGTTCCTTTATAGATACACCTGAACGGCCACACAGTCTTTCTGCCAGAGTAGAGGGGATTTTATAGGGTGGAAAGAGGACTTTGGGATGGAAGATTCCACCTGCAGATCAGTTACCTTGCCGTCTCAAGGTAGGAGGATCACTCAGAGATGTGCCAAACCTCCCACCAGAGCGTCTGGTGCCTGAGAGTCCCAGGTGCCACCAGTGGAGCCTACTTTCCCGTCCGGAGAGGCTCAGTCCACCTGAGGTCTTCAGGCCATTAGCCCCTCAGGAGCCTTCCCAGTTTTCCACCTTGCTCTCTAGTATATACACGTCTCAGGACACACCCCCAAGCTATAGATGAACTTCAGAATGAGTGTTATTACATGCAACTGAGTCAAGGTACTTTTTAGATTCATGTGCAGTTGAGCTCTTCCAGATGTGCCGTCCACACCCTGGCGACTCTCTTCCAGATGTGCCGTCCACACCCTGGCAACTCTCTAGGTCAGGTTGCTTGGCAGTTCTGCTCCACCCCCAATCTTCTACACCAGTGCACTTCCTCCTGTCACACCCCAGGGCATGCCTTTGCCTCCTGGGCTACGTGACCAATGTCATCCTTCTCACTGGCTTCTCTCAGCTGCTTCTCTCCCCAGGCTGCTTGTCCCTACACTGTCAATCCGCAGCCTGCTTCCCACCTGATCCCTCTTCCTCTCTACCTCATTCCATGGCATCTCCTTCCACCTGCTTCGACCAGTCTTGGGATTCCGCTGAGGGTGCCGTGACCCCACTGCCGGGTCTCTTTCTACAGATCCTCGCACACATCCTCACATAATACTCACCATACTGACTGCAGACTGACAGTCCAGACACACAGACTGGACAGAGTCCTTTGGCCACTCAGTTGGGAAGTCCCTACAATCCCTCATTGTCTTTGGCGGCTGGGTGATTTCCACAGCTCTCTGGACATGTAAGCATTTGGGTTTTACACACTTGCTCTGAACGGTCCCTAGAGTCCTCAGTGAGACACATCAGAAGGTGTGCAAACTCACCCATCCCAGCATGCTCAGAGTGTGCAAACTCACCCATCCCAGCATGCTCAGAGTGTGCAAACTCACCCATCCCAGCATGCTCAGAGTGTGCAAACTCACCTATCCCAGCATGCTCAGAGTGTGCAAACTAACCCATCCCAGCATGCTCAGAAGGTGTGCGAACTCACCCATCCCAGCATGCTCAGAGTGTGCTTTCAGTTTTTCCAGAGACTAAATATGATTTTTCAGAAAACCTAAAAAACACAAACAAAAGACATTGAAATCAAGACCAATGAGGGGAAAGAATGAATGGAGACAGATATTTATTCTTTTCCTCATTGAAAAATTCCATATCTAGATCCTATTGGCCTGAGATATGGGCTTAGAAATATGGTTCTTACTGTGACCAAAAGAAATTTCCACAAGGGGCCGGAGAGCTGGCCCAGCTGTTAAAAACGATAGCTGTTCTTGCAGGGGACCGAGGTTCTGTTTCCAGTACCCACGAGGTGGCTCACAACCATC